GAGGGGTCGGTTTCTTCTACGCGTTCACGCAGCTTTGCACGCTGGGGTTCCGTCTCTGTTTATTATTTGTAGCCGATTAAACATGAGGAAGGCGCGTACTTGTAATGTCTCGAACCTTACTCCTTATTTTAGAAGGAAGGAAGGAGATTTTTATGGGGAGATTACGTTTTCTACAGAAAAGATTTGTGAGTAGTTGCAAGGCGCAGTTATAAGCTGGGGCCGGGGAGAACTTCTGTTCTTGTGCTAGTTATTTTAAAGCTAAACGGAAAAGAAAACGCTGAAGCAATTTATGGCTTACAACTGTGTTTCTTTCTTTATCGATGGCTAGATCGAACCATAAAACATGTGATGATAGTAACTTCCTGTATCAAACTGGGTTGAGCAAAAAATACACTTTGGTTTCAAATTCTTGAAACTTTCCTTAGAAATCCTGGCTATGAAAATTTTGTGCGGTCATGACGCTTGTAGCAGTAAATATATTTACATAAACTATGAGAATACTCCACAACCTTTTAAAGTGTAACATTAAAAGACATTTATTTGAGCAATGGTTAAACAGTTCCTTCTATATCTCTTGCTCTCATCTGGTTTTCCTTTTCCCCCTGACTCTCTGCTTCTTTTATTAATGATGCATGCAATTTTTGAAAGATCTAAGGCAGGTGACTTAATGTTAACTTTTCATAACTAATAAACTGGAGTTGGTAAGTCTGTAGTGGGTAATGATGCCACATGGGTAAAACCCAGTAATGACAATGCATAGGCAATAGCCAAAGTGCACTTTTCTATGCAGATTGTACATCTTTCTAAATGCGTATGTGAAAAAAGGGCATGGAACACTTCACAGTTGTTTTTCTTCTGCCTTCTAGGCTAGATACCTTTTTGGTTTGCTATGCATGTATTATAGTGACCTGAAGTAATGTCCAAACGTGCTGTAGTAGTCATCTTTATTAACTGGACAGTTCTGATAGTGGGCTTGAGATTAAATATCAAAATCGTGAAAAAATCTGCTTTTTGTGTTCACAAATTTTCTATTCACTTAATAGTTTTGTTGTTCTGTTGGAGGTAGTAGCGAAACACCGAGAGCATAAAGAGTTGTGCGGGAGTAGAGGCATGATCTTGAACTACCTTTCTGTGGGGTTTGTGGTAGATTGTTGGGAAGAAAGGCCCATGGTGATTGTTGTTGCTAAATAGTTCATCTTCTTTGTGCCATGTGGTTCTTCTTTATTATGTTTGGTTTACTTTCTGAAAAATAGAACTCAATAAATGGAAAAAACTAGCCTATCATTGGTGGGAACAGGCATTCAGTTATAAAAGAATGTCTGTTCAAGTACCGGAGGTGAAAGAGGACAATAATTCTTGTTAATGTTTGAGAATGTGTATTTACTGCAGCATATGTAAAGAGCTCCACGTATTTACTGCAGTATATGTAAAAAGCCCCCCATGCACCAAAACATAACTCGCCCTGGAAAGGAAATTTTTTTTCTTTGTCTCCCCAGATTCCTTAAGAAGCAGCAATTACATATAATCTTCTAGGAAAGCTGTTGCACTTACTGAAGAAACGAATGTTAATTTGCTGGAAGGCAAAATGCCTGTTTACACGGTTCAGGCAAGAAGTCCCTCTGAGGCACAGCGTAGTGCAACTCTGCAGAAGGCTTTACAGAGAACCTTTACCATCAGCAAAGGGTCTGGGCAGCAGCCGAAATCGCACACGTCAGAAGAAGAAAAAGATAGTCTGCTTTCATGTTCTCAGAATAAGACCGAAGACGTAAATAGGACGTACGTGATTTCATCTTGTAAAAAAGTGAGTGACACATCAACTATGTTTAAGCCTGAGGGCAGATTAACACTCCAGAGGAGAACTGGAGCAAGCAAAACCTCAGTGTCCAGTAGTGAACAACTGCTTATAAACACAACACAGGACACTGAAAATACACAAATGGAGAAAAGACTTACTCTGCAGAGGTGTGGGAGGACTGGCTTCACAGAGAAGAGTAAAATTAGTCAGAATTCTGTGCCTGGAATGGCAAATAATGACTTTGGACAAAAAAATTACAAGATCACACTTCCAGCAAGTACTAATAATAACGATACACCTGATGCTAAACCAAGCTTTAGGTTAGCTGAGGGTCAGGCAAGTACGAAGTTACGGAGTGACTTGAACAGCAAGGGAACCCCTGGCTTTGTTGGTGATCTGCGTCCAAATAACAACTGTGCGTGCTTAAAATACAGGACAAGTGTTGCTGACACCAAACATCAAAATGAAGTTCCTAAATTGGAGCAATTAGTTACTTCAAAATATATTAATAGGATTTCAGCAGAACAATTCAATGAAAAAGGTGATATAAATAAGCTAGCTGGAAAGCCAAGGTTACACCACTCGGTTATAAAACGTAAGGGTTTGGAACAACCAAGGATACCAACAAAAGATTCAGCCGAAGGATTTAAGCTTACACCAAAGAACAACACTTCTCAGGATCAACCGTCTCTCTCTGCTTCCAATAAACTAACACCTCATTTTCAGATTTTAGCCAAAAAGAAAACCAGTGTCTCCAGCTCTCCTTCTGTAAGCAGGAGTTCAAAACCAAAAGAGAACACTGAAACTGTAGCTAAGAGTAATAATGAAGAGAAGGATGTCTACAACATAGAAAACAGCAAAGTGGTTGTAGCTGTGCGTGTACGGCCTTTCAGTAACAGGTTTGTGGCTTACTTCTGATGCTGATGGAAGGTTTTGTCTGTGTCGATTCCTGCTCTGTGCTTTTTGAATTGTTTAATCAATGACCCATTAAGGATGTAATATGTACTTTGAAATAAGCTGATATTTCATGCAACATCAAAATAAAGATTTGGTTCAGAGGCTGAATTCACTTTCTAGGCATTTGGGGCTATTTTTTATATTATATTTAATATTTCGTTAGCTGAACTATTTCCAGCTTGAGTATGTTCAGCAAACAGGGTTTTTTTTTTAACAGTGGTTACTGAGCTTTTTATTTCTGTAGAGTGAATTGATTGAAATGCCTAACTTAAAGCATGTAACTTCTGCTTTTAAATTGTTTTTCCTCCCCTTTCCATTCAGAGAGAAAAATGAAAACTCACTCCCTGTGATCTCCATGAGTGGTGCAGAGACAACTGTACGAAATCCAACCACAAACCAAGTTTACAGCTTCAGTTACGACTTCTCTTTCTGGTCTTTTGATGAGTGTCATCCTAATTTTGCAAGCCAAGCAAGGATTTATCAAACTTTGGCTGTGCCGCTCCTAGAAAGAGCTTTTGAGGGATATAACACTTGTCTTTTTGCTTACGGACAGACTGGTTCTGGAAAATCATACACGTAGGTTCCGAATGATAATTGCTAAAATTCTGCAGGAGCCAATTGTTGTGCGATGTAAAGTCATAAACAGAGATTATCTGGAAGAGACGTGGTTGAATTGTGTTAAAATGGGTTTGCAGCTTTTAAAAGTAACTAAAATATTTACTATAATTAAGACAGCTGTAGAATATTTTTCTGTATCTGACGTTAACCGCTTTCTACTTCTATTGAAGGAAATAGAAGTGCTTTGCAGAGATTTTAGTGAAGAAAAACCTTTATTAATTCTGAGAGCTTCTCAGACTTTCCCAGTGCTGTTGTTCACCAGTGTTATTTTGTACATGAAGTGATACATTCTGAAGTGTATTACGGTTTTTGGACAAGACCTTTAAGAGATCATTCTAATTATGGTCCTGACTGTTTCAGAAATTAAATATATTTAAAAATCCAGATGTTTTCAGTACTGCGCAATTGATACCTATTCTCTATACACGAAATAATCTCGGACAAGTAACATTTTGAGGTTTTATAGCAAATTTTGTGTATATTTTCCAATAGAATGCCTAGGGAACTTTTGTGTCCAAATGCACTGTTAAAATCAGTTCTATGAGCTTTATAATTCCCTTGAGGTACTATAGACTTCTGTATATGTAGTCGAGGACCAGAAAAGTTTCTATTCAACTTATTGTAATTTTCATGTCACTACTCAATTTATCATAGATACAGGTCTCAGAAATTGAAAATCCCAGCTCTTTCCAAGTGGGAACTCAATTTTTACTTATTTTTACTTACCTTGACCTAAAAGAAAGAGATGCTTAGTATTGCAGTTGTTATCCTATCTGTAGGTGGTTTTTTTTGGTTTGTTGGGGTTTAGTGTTTTTCTTTTTTCCTCTTCTTCCACTGTCATGTAAACAATGATTTACTTCCACCCCACTGTATTTGAAGCAAGGCTGAAATTAATATCACAGTGTCCTCAGGTCAACACATTTCTGCCAACAACTTTGTTGTACAGCTGTGTGTGTCTCTAGACTGTAGCTGAAGTCGTCCAGCACAGTGGTGTTCTGCAGTGGCAGAACTAGACTGGGGAAAAAAAACTCCACCAGAGGTGGAGAGGCTTATGTTACCACACTGCAGTGTGCAGAGTATATAAAATGCACACGTAATAAGATATCAGATGTCTATTGGTTTACTGTTCATAGTACCACTCACTTTCCAGTTGCTGTAGGGGTTGAGCTTTACTTTGGTTTTCCATCTATTTCCCAATAGATGAATTAGACCTCTGGACATCTTGTCCAACTCCCAGCTCAAACAAGCACCAGCTTAGATGGGGTTTGTTTCTGTTGCTTATTACTTCCATGACTTAGAAATACATGGTGTTTCAACTTTACATTAATGGTATTCATATATCTATTTTATAAATGTTAAAACTAGCTGTAGGGAGTTACAAAACTGAAGTGTCGGTGTCTTTGTAACTGCAGGATGATGGGATTTGGTGAAGAGCAAGGAATAATTCCAAGACTTTGTGAAGATCTTTTCACTCGCATAGCACAAATGGACAAGCAGCAGGTGATACACTTCTGCTACATTGAATTATGAGGAAAGTGATGCATTCCAGTATTTTGCAGTTTCATTCTTTCATTTTATACCTTAGTGCTGATCCAGTTATTAACATTGTATTCTTTTACTGATGCAAATCTCACTGCTACTAGTAGCTCTGATTAGCAGGGTTCCCTAAATAGTCAAAATTAACATCAACTTTGTTTTGTTTCCTTGATGAGAATAATGTAAAAAAGAAATAGGGCACAATATTTTTTAATGTGTCACTAGACTAGGATTCTTTAGTCTGTATAGCATATTTCACAAGACGAGATTTATGTAAGGAAAGGTAAAGCAAAAAATCCTAGTAGGCTCTATACTTTCAGGTCAGGCATATAAAATAGAATTCAAAAAAATATAAATTTAACTTTAAACATTTTAACATATCAGAGCAAAATACACTTTACTAGTATTCTAATTCCCTTGTTGTTGCTGAAATTAAAAAAAAAAAAAAAAAATATAAACTAACTACTCCCACTCGGAGTTTTTTTTTAAATTTTTCCTTATAAATTTTGTTTCCTTCTCTGTTTTGAGACTAGATCTTTATATGTATGTAATTCTATATGAGAGAGTAGTCTTCTGAGGAGGTAGTAATGTTTCATTTGATCACAATGTATTTTCCTTTGTATTCCTGTCCTATACCTATGGATTTAAAAATAAGTGTTAATCCTTTTCAGAGCCTTTTAGTGAAGGATTACGTTCTGTTTCTGCCTCAGTTAATTGGTGTAGTAATTGTAAATTTAGAGAATCATAACCAGAGATACAATTAACTTAAACTCTGAAAGAAAAATGTAACTACTCATTTCATGTCCTAAGAAGAAAAGACCAAACCTGAGAGTGTGGGTATGCAGGAGATTTGTTTGTAGGAGGTCTTCAGGAATATTTATTTTTCTGTCTGACTGTTAAGGCTTTTCTAAGATTGAATTCCAGGTACAGAACCACTTTTGGGGAACTAGCCTGACTGCAGTACAGCGCCTGACGTTTGAATTGTGCACCTAAAGCTTTCCAAAGTAATAAGACAAATAATAATTTGTGGTTAGAAACTCTCAGTTGTCTCTTAAAATTATGAAAAAGATTTAGACTTAAATCTACTCTCTTTCTTGTATCAGGAATATGTGATGCAAAATGTACTGGTGACTAAGGCTGTTCTTTGTATTCTTTTTCTCTGGTATGTTTTGTGGACTACACTAATGACTTTCATTATTAATTTTATTAGATTTTGTATCATCTTGAAATGAGCTTTTATGAAGTATACAATGAGAAAATTCATGATTTGCTTGTCTTTAAAGCTGAAAGGAGACAGAAGAAACAACCAGTAAGTTGATCATAGAAACAATTATATACTTAATTTCAAAGCAGTGGTATCTATTCTGTGAACAAAAATGCACAAATGGCAAGTGATCATTGTTTTGTGATGTCAGTTCCTTAGATTGTTGTAAATAACAGGATACAAGTAAAAAAAAAATCTTGCTGTATGACTTGAAGCAAAATTCTTTGCGCTTTAGAAATGCTAAGCAAGATAATATCTTGCTGAAATAAAAAGATTCAGTATAATAGTTCAAAGTTGTTAACATCTTTCCTTATCTGCAAAATGAAGATTATTTTAGCAGCCTTTATCTAGAGTCTCTTAGAATACTATTTATCTAAATCTTCAGATTGTATTAAGAGTCTTCTGCACAATATAGTTTAAGTTATAATCTTGTAATTTAGGTGGAGTTGTAAAATGGAAGTATGACAATGTCAGGCTTCCAGTGGTGTTTGTCCGGGGGAGGGGGAAGTACTTGCCTAATTGTGTTTAATCCATCAGTCTCCTCAAAGCTCAGCACTACAGAAATTTCCATTCAGTTTCTGGAAAAGTCTGTGTGTTGTTTATCTACAGGGATGCCTGTTTGCCACTGACTCTGCAGATCTAATTGCAGTCCATAATTTATTAATGAAAAAATGTTAATATTTGCAAAGGGAGAAATTTTATCTCCTTGGTTTCTTCTGTGTATTTACATTGCCCAGCTACAGTAAGGACCTTAGCACCAAGCTGTATAATATCTTTCAGATTCTTTGTCTTAGATTATGTACTGCTTACAGCCATCTTATTCTGGTCCCTGTTGTCCCTGTTGCCCACCTGTTGGCTGTTTCCCAAGAAGCTGAGGAAGTTGGGGGGGGAATCAGTGACCTGATTAAGTAGACAAGGATTACTAGCTGAACTTGTTTAGCTAGTTTTTAATGCTTTCATGTCAGAATATATAAAGCCATAAATTGTGTTAAGTAGGGGATTTAGAGGAAGAAGTTGTCATGTTTGATTTAGTAAAAATAGTACATTCTGTACTTCGACACGTTGAACACTATTGGCCACTTGTGTGTAAACTGCAAGCAATAGTTTAGGATAAAGATGATTTACTGCATTCAGCTTGCTGTTGAAGTAAGTTTCAGATAAGGAACCTGTGACTTCTGTAGCCTGTTTTTATATTGAAGACTATACTGCCTTGTTAGTAGTAAGAGTGCTTTCATCTGAGTTGTGTGAAGGTTTTTTAGCTAAGCTGTTTAACTTGGAAACATATTAGTATTATGTTGCAGACAAGATTTTCATTTTTTTCCTTATGTAAATTTTTTCGGTGTTTTGAGCAAGGGGCTGGTGCAGTCTGCTGTGATTTCTCAGGCAGGTGGCAAAATTCAGTTGTAGGTGTTCTCCTGAAAGTATTGTTTTATACGTTTCATGGTAAGTTTTGTTGATGATAAATGTCATACTGGGGATGTAGAGAGACACTCTTTTAATTTTCAGGTGTTCCTGAATGCTAGATCTAATGCAATTCTAATAATTTTTCTTTTAAAATTCTCACCAGCTTCGTGTAAGGGAACATCCAGTATTAGGACCATACGTGGAAGGCTTGACAGTGTAAGTCTTAACTGTTCTCATTTTAATAGATGTGTGGCTGTAATCCCAAAGGAGTGTGCTAATTATTATCTTGAGGCTCTCTGAAAGCTTGTGTACTTGCCAGTACATGAGGCAAGATCTTTGTATCACGTAGTTTTACAAAACTGCATACCCATCTCTAGCTTGACTTGACCTGTTTCCTTTAGTGTATTGCTTTAGTCTCAAGACAACTGGAGCTTTCATGGTATGTTTGGATTTTGTCTGTGACTCAGGAAATGTCTTAAAACTCAGGCAGCAGGGAAAACTGTAGAATGAAAACAGTCTGAACCCAAACTTTTCTTTTTCCTCCACCTTAGGAATGTTGTCAGTTCTTACAGTGATATCCAGGTAAGAGTTATTTGGTTATTAAAAGGGAATACGAATATTTCTATTTGCTCCTTCCTTCACTGCTGAAAACCAAACTCCATGGGTGGGAAGAAAATGCTTTAGAGACTGCCAAGTAGTTTCTGATATTTCAGCTGATTTTGTAAAAGGATAATGAAGACTAGTCCTGTATAATGGAGCTAAGTAGATGCACATAGGCAATTGTCACTCTCTTTCCATGGTTATCTCTTAAGTTTAAGTTTTAATTCCTCCCTTATAGAGTCATTATTTGTGTTAATAACTTTATTTGCAAACATTTTAATCTTCAGTTAACTACCCAAAGTAGGTTTTAGTTTTACATCCTGGCTTTTCTCTCTTACAGAGTTGGCTTGAACTAGGGAATAAGCAAAGAGCGACAGCTGCTACAGTAATGAATGACAAGAGCTCTAGGTCTCATTCTGTCTTAACGCTTATCATGACACAAACCAAGGTATTGCTGGGTGGTTTACAACTGTTCATATCGAGTAGTCAAAAGTTGTTTTGTGTGCTGCCTGGAAAATTGTTGTAAGGAATATACTTGAAGGTGAGTAAAGCGCAGGGCATTTCAACAGGGTTTTCCACACAGCTAAACTTGTTCTATTTTATGTGCTTTGAGTAAATTCTGATGTCTCTGTGCCTTGCATATTTATAGCAGCACTATAAATATGTCTAGACTAGCAGATCTAGGAGTAGTTCCAAGTTTCCAAGTGTGAGTGTTGAGATGTAACTGGAATCCAGATTGAGGCCAGACTTCATTTCACGCCGTGCCAATATATCTTAATTTCTAAGAAGCTTAGGCCATGCATGTGGGATAGCTGAGCTGAGTTCCTGCAGATGGTGAGCTGGGACAATCGTAGGAGATGCAATTTCTGCTCCCTTTCAACACAGTTCACTGAGTAAACGTTTCCTTCCTTCAGGATGCCTCTCACTCACGTGTCTCCAGGATATAGGGACTACAACTCATCTGATTTACAGATGTGTAAGAGGCAAAACCTGGCTTAGTGAGATGAGCCTGAAAACAGAAGTGAAATAGTAGGGCTCCTCAGGAGTCTACAGACTGTCAATTCAGAAGTAGCTTGCTGGTTTGGGTTTTTTGTTGTTCTGGTTGGTTTCATGTTTAAATCCAATCTCCTCATCTTTTCTTTCCTTCTTCCCCTCATTATTCTTACCCACTCGATTATTTCTTTTCTGTACTAGAACTAGTACTGAGACTTTTCCACTGACTACTTAGCTGACCTTCATTGGTCTAAGTCAGGAACAATTTACTGATTTCCATGGTTATTAGACAGCTGCAATAGTCAAACTTCAGACCCAAACCTGTAGCTTGCCAGTCTGTTGGGTTTGTGGTTTGTACTTATACAGATATTCAGCTGCAAACAATTGAACCTACGGTCAGAAGTCTGAACTTAGTCTCCTTCAAGGGATGTATAGGAAGATATCCTGTAAAAGAGTAAATGGAGGTGTCTTTTTAAAATGTATTTAAAGTGAACAGTTAGATTTCTGCTTATCCTCAGGCTTTTTATATTGTTTTGAATACAGACACCTCCTTTTTTTCCAGGTGGAATTTGTGGATGACAAACAGTGTGATCGTAGGCTTACCAGTCACATAAATCTCATTGATCTAGCAGGCAGTGAATGCTGCTCAACAGCTCAGACCACTGGAGAAAGGCTGAAGGTAAACCAAGATTGGAAATTTGTGGGAGAAGGATTGACTCCACAGAATACCCTAAACTCCAAAGTGTCCTTCCCTGCTGGGACTCTTGGGTGGGACCTGTAGCTATAAAAGGGCACACAAACCTTATGCTCATAAGGATCCAATAGCATTTGGCTAGTGGGGGTGGGTGGCCCTCAGAAGCTGGTTTGACTGTGGAGTATGGCTGGCCAGCTCTTGCTTAGGAGAGCACTACTCATGCTGCGCAGGCCCAATGTGTTTGGAAGGAATGAGGAATAACTGTCCACAGGACTTCCAAATCCCAAATCAGGTACCATACAGAGTTTTGACTTGCCTCTTTTTTGGGGGATTTAAGTAAATGGAGCTTCTATTAAGAGACTTTCAAGCTGCCTTCATAAGTTTGATGGTTGGTAACATTGCTTATTTTAAAGCCAAGGTACCTATTCTTTTCAAATTAAGATTTTCTAAGATATTCTTGCATCTTACTGTTATTATTTTATTCAGTGCTGACACCTAATATGGCACAGCTCTACCATGCATTGAATAAGCACAAGTAAATCAACAGTACAGTCAATAACCTCACACAAGAAAATAAAACTGTACTTAGAATTATTTTTTTTTTTGCTTTGTGTAGGAGGGTGTGAGTATCAATAAATCCCTGTTAACCCTTGGAAGGGTTATTTCTGCACTCTCTAAACAAGCTGAAAATGGAAAGAAAACTTTCATTCCTTACCGGGAATCTGTCCTTACTTGGTATGTACACTTCAGAATTTTTTATAAAACAAGTGAAGCATAAACAGGACCTTGTTTTGTATTTTTAAGCAGCTAACAATCACTCTCAAATAAGTAGTAGGACCATAGGTATCTTGTATTTAATCTGTTCAAATGGGGAAGTTTTAATTTTTCTTCCAATGTCGGGGCTGGGGATTGACTTCTACCCTGCTCTCAAATGAAGGTTGTTGAAGGAAAGCCTTGGTGGGAATTCACAAACGACCATGGTTGCCACAGTGAGTCCAGCTGCCAGCAGTACAGAGGAAACACTCAGCACTCTTCGCTATGCAAAAGAAGCTTGTTCAATTATCAACATTGCCAAAGTAAATGAAGATGTGAATGCCAAGCTCATCAGAGGTGAGGTGGTCATCCTCAGTCTCTGAGGGTTTTTCATTTGCACATGTGTTTACCTTAGTGCTCCATAAGACTTGTTACTACTAATAATTGTGTTGGCTGACCGCTTGTCACCCTGTCAACCTATTATATATCTTCCTTTTAATGTTCTTCTTTGTGAGCTCTTTGGGTTTGCCTCCTCTTTTTTTGCCAAAGTTCAGATGGTATCTTAGGCTACACTTGGAAACCTATCGTGGGGAAAGGTGTTTCATGTTTAATTAAATAACACAATTAATTTTCTAGTGTTTTACTGAAACGTCTAAGCCCAATTCTGTCTTCATTTTTTGTGTGCCATTTGTCTGTTGTAGAATTGAAAGCTGAAATTGAAAAACTGAAGGCAGCTCAGAAAAGTGCTCTGAACAGTGATCCTGAGAAAAACAAACGTTATTTGCAGGAAATAACATCTTTGAGGGTAAAACTGCACCAGCAGGAGAGGGACATGGCAGAAATGCAAAGGTTAGGCAGCCGTTAATGGCCTACTGTAATAGAGAAGTGGTAAAATTTATATGCTGTAATTTTTCTCCTAATATGTTGTTTTACTTTTCACCTTAATATATTCAGGGCCTGGAAAGAAAAATTTGCGCAAGCAGAAAAAAGGAAGTTGGAAGATATAAAAGAATTGCAGGTATATTTTCTTTCTTCACCTTCTGTAGGAGACAGTACAGCAAGTATAACATCAGCAAGCCTTGCTGAATAGTTGGGAGTAGTTGTAAGATTTGGGTTCCTTAGTGCTATCCTTTTAACAGGCTACTGTGACTTCTTAGAAAAATTTAATACGGATATCTGAGTGCACAAAGTAGATTGGCTTTTTATGCAGCTCTTTCTTTTACCTAGAAATCGGGAATTGCATTCAAAATGGACAATCATTTACCGAACCTTGTCAACCTCAATGAAGATCCGCAGCTTTCTGAGGTGCTGTTATATATGATAAAAGAAGGAGAAACTACAGTTGGAAGGTATACACCAAATTCGAAGCATGATATCCAGCTTTCTGGAGTACTAATTGCTGATGACCATTGGTACGTAGTATTCTTTTTATACTTGAAGTAAGGTCAGCAATTATTTCTTCTGACCCTTCCCTCTCTTTTGGAGTCACTCTTCCTTCTGGCAGTAACAAAATAAGGTTTTCTATCCAAGAAAAGACTACTTAGGGATAATTTTTGTACTGTTCAATGATAAAGTGACTTCCTTCTGTTCCCTCTAGGAATCTGTTAACCAAGGTAGTGTAATTTCTTTGTTCATTCATGTAGCAAAATTCTGTATTCATGCATAATTGCTGGAGAAGGACCTGTTGAAATGATGCTGTGTGTTAAGTCCCTTGCATTAAGTTCAATAGAAAAGTGAAATGCCTTGACAGTTCTTACTTAAAGCTAAAAATAGAGAGCGACTTGGTCATATGGCAGAAGTATTGTTTAAAGTTTGCTCCTAGACAAAATGCTGTAAGAAACTTAACCAATAAATTGCTAAACCCATGAAAGGTGATTTTGTTGGGAAATTAAGCATTATCGAAGAAATGCTCAGCATTGTAATTTTTTACCAGTGGATTCTTCTTAGATTTAAATATTGATCCTCTTCCAAAATAGAGTCAGCTATGCATGTTGCGACTAAATGGTATAAAGACAATCTATGTCTAGAAAAACAGTAACAGGGCACTACATAAAGTGTCAACTTTAGTCTATTAAGAAACGTCATTCACAATTAACATGAGTTGCTGATATCACAACTGCTTCTTATTTTCAGTGTTCTAAAAAATACTGTTGGCAAAGTGAGTATTATTCCACTGAGAGGAGCAAAGACATATGTGAATGGGAAATGCATTTTAGACCCAACAGTACTGCATCATGTAAGTAATTGATTTGGTAATAGTAACACATGCATGTGTGGACTTCCTTGCTTTGTTATTACTGCTGCTTCAGACTGCAGGTTTTCTTAGAAGGCTCTGAAACAGTAAATATTTGTCTCTTCCTCTTTGATTTCTAGCCCCATCTGTTATGTTCTAAGCACTGTGGACTGGCTTATAAATCTAAAAGTCATAGAGAAAACTTCCTCTTTTCCCAACAGGGTGATCGAGTGATCCTTGGGGGAGAGCATTATTTCAGGTTTAATCATCCAGCAGAGGTTCAGAAAGTTAAAAGGTCATCTTGTGGGACTATGGTTTTACACGAAGGCCCAAAAGATTTTGAATTTGCGAAGAACGAGCTGCTTATTGCACAGAGAACACAGTAAGTATTGTACCTTCTTTTCTAAAAATAAATTCAGTTGTTAATACAGTCATGCAATAAGTTTAAGAAATAAGAAACTTAAGATTATTAATTATTTCACAAAGTGAGGGAAAATAGTGAGGCTATCAACTCTATTTATAATGGAAATGGAAGTCCTGGGCTTAGCTGCAATGAACATGTACCTCAAAGAGGTGATCACCACAGTTCAGCTCAGTCATCAAGAATGTACACCACTATTAACGAAACACTGAGCTCCAGAGATCCTCAAAGTAGAGTATCTCTTCAGGTACATTTCTCTCCAAACACATGAGGAATCCGAAATTGACTTTGTTGTAGAGAGCTTTAAAGCCTGAAAAAACAAGTGCTTTAAGACAATAGAGAAGAACCCAGAGTTACAAACTTTGTCTTCTGTGATGGTGGAGAACTTGAGAGACATTAGTGTTGTTTGCGTGTGCTTTGTCCCTGGGAGTTATTAAATCACAAGGTTCCATGACTTAAAATTTACTTTTCCACATCTTAATGCTATTTAGCGAGTTTCCATTACAGTCCTTAATTTTGTGAAAAGTGCATAATAAAATAAATATGGAAACTGAGTGGACATTAAAATTCTGGAATGTCTGCTGTCTTTACCAGTGTCTACATTTTCCCTATGAAATCAAAAATATCTAGGTCAAGTATAAAAGTTCTTTTTAATGAAACCAAAACAAGTCCACAAACTTTTTGTTAAAAACTGGAGGCATCTGTCATGATGGAAGAAAAAAAGTTATAATCTCTATGCAATTTATAAGAGTTTAAAGGCAGTGTTCTACGCGTATGATGCTTCCACTTGTAGGCTTGAATCAGAAATTGAAGAGGCACGACTCAAAGCCAAGGAGGAAATGATGCAGAGTGTCCAAATTGCAAAAGAGATGGTTCAGCAAGAACTGATATCACAAAAAGAAGCTTATGAAAGCAAAATAAAATCACTGGAAGCAGAGGTGGTAAGTTACCATTGCATTGTTGTATAAAACCTATCAATAAAACAAAACAGAATCCGTAGTGTGGGGTTTGTTTGTTTGTTTATTTAGTTTTTTTATCTTGCGTATTATAACAGTGCCTTAGGGGAATGCTAAGCCACATTCTTCATTTATTAAAATACAGACTTAATGACACAAGAACTAATGAAGTTAGGTATACCCTTCAGAACTATTCTAAGTATTTCGGTTTATAGAATTAGTTGAACTAATACGTGAAGAAAAATCCTCACAAAATCTAACTTATTATAATGACATTTCTAAACTACTACACTCTTTTGCTTACTATGCCTTTTTTATCTTCCAAGTTCCCTTGGTACTATGTTAATATTTTCAATACTTTTACAATATGTGACACGGAGTAGTACATCATAGAAAAACAGTAACAGTGATGGAGTATCTTATTTCTTAAATGTGACGTAACATGATGCTTGTGAACTGGGAATATAACCTGTTGCTGCTGACACTGGGCCGAGTAGCCCACAGGGATTGCACGTTTTAGTTGTGTTGAAATGAAAATAAACCTTAATATCTGCCTAAGGGATAGGTCAGAAATCTGTAGAAGTTGCATTACCTCCTCTTGTCTGTCCTCTTTTATGTTAGAGAGAAGAATCTCGTAAGAAGCAAATTCAAGAACTGGATAACCAAAAAGCTGCAACTAAAATACAGGAGCTAGAGAAGGCAAAGCAAAATCTTGAGCTAGAGCTACAATTAAATAAGAAGCGTTTAGAAATGGAGACCTTGGCTACCAAGCAGGTAATTCTAAAAATAAACCTTTTAGGTTTTTAAGTGTGGTTTGTTGGGGGGGGGGGGGGGGGGGGGGGGGGAGGGTGAGAGGTAGGGTGTTTGACTTTTACAATGATTTCTTTAAAAGGAAAAAAAAATGTTTCTGGAGTAATTTTCTTCTGCATGACTTTATAAACAATAACATGTTTTCTTTATGCTCTGAGAATGGTACTGTATTAAATTTGGGGATGAACTAATGCAGATCTTATTTTTTATACAATGTAGATGGTTTTGTTCAGGTAACAAACTTTAGTGACCATTGCATGTGCTCATAGTTGTGACTCGAGGCATTAATATAAGTAGGGACTAGTTTTTTTGGTTGGTGTTCATGTAGATCTGACTGCTGCAACAAATATGACTTAATTTTAAGTTGTTTCTTTTTAGTTCCAGTTTTTTTTAAAGCATAACAATATCTAAGCAAAACCAGAATTCTGTCAAAGTTTGAAGATTAAGGGTTTCATATCAATATAGCAAATGTCTAATTTAAATTTCATTCTCTCTGAGTCTTTAAAATGACAGCAACAAAAAAAAAATTGTTTTAATAAACTGCAGTAAGAGGTATTTTGTTGTTGTGGTTGAACCCCCACCCAGGCTCTAGAAGATCACACCATTCGCCACACAAAGATACTTGAAGCTCTGGAAGCTGAGAAGCGGAAGATTGCTGAAGAAATACATGCCCTGCAGAAAAATCATGGAAGTGGGAAAAAAACTACAACTAGTACGTATATACAGAACATTGCAAAGGCTTGGATTTAAAGAATGTGGATCCTGGAGCTTTTCCTTCTTCCTCTCAACAGCTCTGTAATGATCTGGAACAAGACGAGCCTTTTGGCTGCTAGGATCCTTTCTATTCATAAGCCAGATAGATCAAGACCATGCTGAAAACTCTGTTTTAATCAAAATCAGAGGTGCCAGGTGGATATAGGTGTAGTCTGTATTTACCTCAATTACTTAGAAGTCCTTCCCCCATCTGGCTGAACTGGTTAGGTCTTAACTCTGGAGAAACTAGAGCAACAGAATTGATTCTGTTGAGTTTCCTATCTAAGATTCTTGTATCATGCTTGAAGTTAGACCTCCATTTCTGAAATACCCTCTCTCTGACCTTTTATAAAGGGATGTCTTGTCTGAGAGTGTGATTTTTTTTTTTTTTTTTTCCTCCCAGTTTATTGGGAATTTATAGAACTGTTGGCTAATTCCATTAAGTTTTTGGTTGTGGTTTCTTTTTTTTTCAGCTTCTTTGTTTTTAATGCTAAAGTTGTTGCATCATGTTTTGATCCACTTAATTGTTATGTGCTGTGTTCCTTTATTAGTCCCGCTGAACTGGAGTTCTCTGAAGCTATCTGTGATGCTCAAAGAAGCCAACACCATTAGTAATGAATTAGGGAAAAACACTGTTTTCTACAGGTGAGTATCTGAGTTAGCTAATTAAAAGGGAGATGCATGTAAATAAATATACCTTTTTTATATATGTAACTGGGGAATGGATTCTGAATGTTCACTGAGCTGATTGTTTTTCTTGTAACAGTTTTGTTACCTGGAACATGATAAATAACTTTTCCAAACTAGCTTTGCTTTAAGTGTGTAAATTAGCCTCATTAGTTTGAAATGTGAATTTCAAATTTGAATTTTAGATCAAGACTTTAAAGGTATGTTTACAGACAATTAATTTTGGATTGAGTGTGCTTTCATGTGACTCTTCTGCTGCCCATGTCCATCCTTCTCTGGCTCTCATGTTAAAGTGGTACACTTTATGTGCTAAAGCACATAAAAACAGAAACAAAACTGACCCTGGGAATGTGTGCCAGACACTAGGAGATGTTCAGTTCAGACTCCCAACAGAGGTAGTTTCAGATGAAAACCTCAGAATGCGCTTACAGGGGGTATGAAGTATTTGGGACCAGTTGTCACACTCCACAGATTGCTTTCTAGTTGTAGCTGAAGTGTTGTGGAAGTGGACCTATATGTGAGCAGAGATACATTAGTGCAGAGGCAACTGTATAATTTAAAAATGCTACAGTAAATGCAGGTAAGCTAGGACTTTGTGGACGGTGTATGTATTACTGTTTTTTTCAGACGTTGTCTTTTCTCATACTTCAACAAGAACTCTGCCAGTAGAATTCTGTAGCATATACTTGGTTTTTACAGCATCTTTCAGGAATTTGTATGCTAGTACCTACTTCTGTCTCTGAATGCAGAAATTCCCTTTTTCCTTTATATAAAAATAATTTTAATGGTTACTATGTTTCAGACATGATGTATATCTCACAAAACAATTTCTGAGTTTGTAATCATACTTCTAGTCTACATACAAGTACTTTATATTTGCAATATAAATAATATTTTTTGTCTCTTTTTCTTAAACTTTCTCAAATTCTCAGGCATGACAAAACTGATGATAAAACAGGAGCAGTGTCTTCTGTTCAGGTGCAGGTTCGTAATGTCAAACTGGGAATAGCAACTTTCTGGAGCTTAGAGAAATTTGAATACAAACTAGCAGCAATGAAAGAACTTTATGAGGTCAGTAACAACTGAAGAAAAACCACTAATAAGGAGTAATAGTTTTTCGAAGATAAGACTGATAATCCATACAGGATGAAAACCTTAGTGTTGTTTTTGTTTGTTTCTATGTGCTCTTAAACACCCAGACAGTTTTTTTTTAAACACATGTGCACACACCTCTTTATCATGGAAAGAGGACAGTAGTAACCAATGACTTTATTTAGGCCATTTTGTGTTCAGAGTGGGAAGTAGTAAAACAAGGACTGCTTTGTGGTTCATTTGGTTCTTCAATTGCTTATCTGTTCTAGAGGAAAACTTGAGTTTTCATTACTGTGTTCTATTTTTCTTTGGTTTGGGTAAGTTAATTTACTGCTGATTGCTTTTATCTGTCTGTAGTCTAGGTTATGCAGTGAGAGTTTATGACTTGAGGAAGCAGTCCTTTATATATATAACTATAATATGCAAGTATTTCCAGTGGCATGAGAATACTGCCATATTTATTGCTAAAACCTGTTTAGATCGTAACAGTATCAGAGACTGGATTCTATTTCCTGTGGAAAACTATTGCTAAAACTGATGCACAAATCCAGATATATAATTTACAATTTTTATATCTGGAGTTCTAATAAATTTGGCATGTGGAAAGAGCTGTGAGAAAGTTTTGGACTTGGTGTTTCTGTACCTCTGATGCTGGGTAACTAGGTGTCTTTGCTAAATGGTTTTCTTACTTCAAGCTGGCTGACAGTCAGCTATCTTCTAGATTACACATATCCTAACAAAAGAAAAATACCCTTAAAACTACTGGTCTGCTAAGAGTAGAACATGTGATATTCATCCATGTGTTGACTGCTTTATTATCACTCTATTCAACTGCTCAACCCTCCTCATTCTCTGTATTTTCTTCATATTTTCAGAGTAATGACAGCAATAAAGCTGCTGATATATTTTATGACCCTACTGATGAGTGGGAACCTGACCCCTTGGACACCTCAGTGTCCTCTGTTTCCAGAAGAAGGTGATACTAATTTGTTACTCTATCTACTCTTAAAACAAAGCAAAAAATGGTGTGTGTACTTATCTATACACGCTTCTGTGCCATTGCCATAGTCTTTCATTTATTAATTCTTCTTTTACCATGTAATAACGTCAAACTTACAAGTTAAATGAAAGTTCATGTCTGTATTTTTGAGGCTGGGGAGGCTTAAACTAATATGCTACCTTACTGTGCTTTACTGGTTTCACTTATGAAATGTGTGTTAGAATGCAACGTGTTGCTAATAAAAATTGCACGTGCACTAAAGCAGTTTGACAGATGAAACAGCCGTGTTCATGAGATCAAGCATAGCTGTGGATCTTGTTCATGAATACTTCATTAAAGCCTTTGATACTTTTCCACGCAGCATTCTCATCAAAAAACTGGCTGCCCTAGGGCTACCTAGGTGCACACTCCACTAGGTCAGGTACTGGCTGCATGCCTGGGCCCAGAGAGTGGTGGGGAATGGAGTTAAATCTGGTTGGTGGTCGATCACAAGTGGTGTTCCCCAGGGCTCATTGCTGAGGCTGCTCCTCTTTAACATCTTTATCAATGACCTTGATGAGGAGATTGAGAGCACCCTTAGTAAATTTGCAGGTGACACCAAGTCAGGTGGGTGTGTTGATCTGCTTGAGGGTAGGGAGGCCCTTCAGAGGGATCTGGGCAGGCTGGACTGATGGGCTATGGTCAGTTGTATGAGCTTTAGCAAGGCCAAGTGCCAAGTCCTGCACTTGGGCCACAGCAACCCCATGCAAAGCTCTAGACTTGGGGAGGAGTGGCTGGAAAGCTGCCCAGCAGGAAGGGTCCTGGGGGTGTTGATTGACAGCCAGCTGAACAGGAGCCAGCAGGGTGCCTGGGTGGCCACGGTGGTCGAGGGAACTGGGATTGTTTAGCCTGAAGAAGAAGCTGAGCGTTGACCTCATTATTCTCTACAACTCCCTGAAAGGAGGTTGTAGGGAGGTGGGTGTTGGCCTCTTCTTACCTGCTGCAGCTGACAGGACAAGAGGAAATGATATGGAGTTACACCAGGGGAGGTTTAGATTGGACATCAAGAAAAACTTCTACACTAGAAGGGTAATCAAGGACTGGAACAGGCTTCCTAGGGAAGTAGCTGAAACACCATCTATGGTGATACACAACTGTGTATCTAGATACCAGCAGCGCAGAGTGAAATGTGTAGTTTAATGTTTTCTTTACACCTCTATAACATGGAAGCATTGTTTTTAAGGAGTACATTGCAGCTAATCTGGAACCTTGTATTTGAAATTTTAGCCTTTTAAGAATACTTAGAACTGACTTGCAAACTTCTACAAGGTGTAGCTTGTAGCAGAAATACTAACAGATTCTTAATTATAGCTTTGCTAATAGGTAGCAGTCAGTCTGATTGCTGTTATTCTTCTGGAAAGCTGGTCACTTTATCTGACTGTAAATTTTGGAAAGCATTTCTGATCATTCTAAATAGAAGTTATCTGGAAAGAATCCTGTGTGTAAACAGTTTCTTTTATTTTTTTTTTTGTCCAAATACTGTATAAATGATAGAATAATTTTGGAATACTTTTCTCTGTCTGATGCTCTCTTCTGGACAGTATTATAATGTGTGTTCTCGAATATTAGAAGCATATTTGGTTTTGTTGCATTTTTAAAATAAGCAGAACAACAGAAGCTGAACTGAATGAGAAAAGGTACTAGAAAAGGGAAATAGGCATTGTATGCCGTGCTGACAGCATTTAACTGCTCTAAGTCACACATACTGGTGAAATAAATTGCACATGGTACTTTAGGATTTGGTGCTCCTGATGTGGTGTCATGGAGCACACAGGACAGGCTGTTCCAAAAAGGAAGGGCAGTTCAGAGCTGATGTGCCGGGAGGTTAGACAGAACAGTGCCCTTGCCAAAAAAGGCCTTAGCCCTCCAGTGCCCATGGGAGGTGCACAGGGTAGGTCTGGTGATGGTAGCCAGCGTCAGCCAACAGTCCAGGTCCACAGGTAAGTATGTAATGATGAGGTAAGGGTGAGATTAAGCTGGGAAATGAGCTCAGTGAGTCATGGTTAAGTCTGGTGACAGTTGGCATGGTCAGTCTCTAGTCCAGTAATTGCCTGACATAACTCCTGTGACACGCTCCCAGGTCAAACTGGGAAGTCAAATCTGCAGGTCTAGATCAGGGGTGTACATGGCAAAGCACAGGCGTGCTTACAAGTACAGCTGCAGTGTAAGTCGAGCAGGACCAAGTGCTGGAGACTCATCCTAAAATGCAGCTCCAAGGAAGAGCTGGGGAGCCCCTGCTGAGTCTCCTTCCATCTGTTTCTTTAACAGCTTCAAGGCTGGTTGAGGCTTCTCAAACAGCTCTCTTACCAAGAGCTGGCCTTGGACACTGGCAGCTAGACACCCAGAACCAGGCTGGAAAAACTAAGTTATCTTGTCTTCCTGACAGTGGAGGAGGTTACAGAACATCTGCTTTCTACCAAGAAAAAAAGCTCTCCTATCTGTCTTTCCAAAAGCAATTCATTCTGTCAAGCAAACAAGAGGAAAAAAAGCCAGTATGTCTGCTTTCTATGGTCCAAGTAGGTAGGAAAGATATGTGTTCTGACTCAAGGTCTAGGTGATAAGGTTCAGGTTCATTCCTGATGATTAAAAATGGGAACGTGTAATGAAGACATGTAGTAGCAAGAACCTGAAGAAAGTAAGTAGGATCCATCCTATGGGCTGCATTGTCTTGCTTTCATTCTGGTTTAGGTTCTGTGTTAGGAAATTCTATGAATCAAAAATAGATATTTGGCTTGTTTGCCTGCTGTCTGTTAATATTCCTCGAGTCTTTTGGTGGGTACAGGGAGAGAGATTCTTTTCTTTTAAAGTGTTTTCATGTTTTCACGTTATCATTTCCTAGAAGCAGAAGCTTCATGAAGAACAAGAGAATTTCTGGATGTTTGTCTGAGATAAAATTGCAACCAATTTTGAATGTACAGACTTCCCGTGTATCAGGTACTCACTACGTGGCAGAACACCTTTCATACTAAGAACTTGAAACTACTACCTGTATAAAACATATACAGTTTAGTAATAATGTAAATAAAACGTGAATTGGAAAACAAAGTGAAACAGGTCCTGTTTGTAGTATCTTCAAATTTATAATGTCAAGCTGTTAACAGTAGGGTTTTTGTTTTCTTCATTATGTTTTCTTAGGGCAAAAACTTAGTTCATGTAACAAATTCAGCCAGAGGCTGAATCCTGAACTGAAAACAGTTCAGAGACTGTTTTACTTGACTTGTAGCTATTCATTCAACTGCTAAAGTTCCTTCAAGCTTTTTGTCAGGTTTTATAAACGTTTTTCTTGAACACTAGATGCTTCAGCCTTACAAATTTTTGTTATTCATATCTGGTTTTTGTTTATTTTATTATGTTATTCATAATATTCGTTATATATTTTAGGTCATTCAGTTATTTTCGACTGGCTAGATTTTATTTGTTTTTCTTCGTAAGTTTGATTGTTGAAATAGGTGGATTCATATTAAAGGATTTTGCTATAGAATTTGTATTAGTATAGAATTTATATTAGTACAAGCTGAATCGAGAGACAGTTTAGAACGTCATGAAGGCATTTCTTCTGACTTGCTGTTTTGAGTA